CAAAACTACCAAAATGACCTAAAAAAGAAGCAGAATTACAACAGATTCCACCAGAAACCTCCAAAACGAGCATAGCCCCACCGTGGCTAGCTACAGCGGCTAACCCCGCCCCCCTGCAGCCCCCTCAGCTGCCTGCGGACGCAGGCGGTGACGGTGCTCTCCACCAGCGGCGGCTGCAGGCTGAGGTACAGCAGCGCGTTGTCGGGGCCCCCCCACAGCCGGCTCAGCTCCTGGGACACGCCGCGGTCCAGGCCCTCCACCTGCCGCGGGCCCAGGTCCAGCCCCTCCTCCAGCTGCAGCAGGCCCCAGACCCCCTCCAGGTAGAACCCGCTCAGCCGCGCCCACTCCGCGCTCGAAAAGCTCGTCCCCGACCTTTGCATCAGCCTCCACAGCACCTTCTGCAGCAGGCACTCCACCGCCATCTTGGTTTCCGGACGGTTCCAGGGCTCCTTCTCTATTCCCCCCCCCCGCCGGTTGCATATCCGGCCTAGGGCCCTCCGCACGGCCCCGCCCACCGACGCCATTAGCCCCTTTAGCCCCTTTCCGGGCCCCTTTGGCCTCTTTTCGGGCCCTTCTAGACGCCTACGGAACATCTCCACCAGCACGTCCTCGCTCAGCTTCTGCCCGGAGTCCAGCACGTAGAGCGCGTTCACCGGGTTGTCCCACTTCCCGCAGACGTCCCGGTACAGAGGCCTAACCAGACCCCGGATCCGGTCCTTGTCGATGGAAGAGATCCGACCTCCGACCTCCGCCCAGATCCTCCGAAACAGGCGCCTGCACAGCGCCTCGAAATCCTCCTGTCGGCACACTACCTCGGCCTTGCGGACGATCAAGAGGAGCAGTTCGGCCAATAGCATCTTCAAAGACAAACGGATTTCCGCCTCCAGCCAGTATCCGGGGTCGTGCGGCCCCTCAAACTCCACTTCCTCGTACTCGGTGGTGCTTTCGGTGGTGTTCCCGGATCGGTGCGAGGGTTCGTCCCCGCCGCCGCCCTGGTTTTCGCAGGTCGGCGCGGTCTGGGAGATGCTGTCGTCTTCCCAGGAACTCTCGTTATTGTCCGCGCTATCCCGACCCCCATCCACACAGTCCCAGTACAGCTGTGGCTCTTCTTCTTCCTTCCTAAACGGGTTGCATCGGCCGAGGAGTGCCATCAGGCGTTGGAATGCGCCGCGCGGTTCTTCCTCCTCCTCCAGAAGGCGCTTCCTGACGCTCCGCACCAGCGTTTGCTCGATGAGCGGGTGGTGGCCCTGGTCCAGGTAGAGCAGCGCCTGCTCTATACCGCGGCACTTCCTGCTCAGGTCCTTCAGTATCACCTCGTCCAGGTCCCTGAACCTCAGCGGGTTCACGTAGCTCAGGTTGAACTCCTGGATCTCCGCCCAGACCTTGGCGAACAGGCGGCAGGCGAGCGCCTCGGCGTGGTGCGGCGGGCATCCGGACTCCGACCGCTCAACCAACCGCGCAACCACCTTCATCAGCACCAGCCTCACCGCCATCTTGATGTCGGACCTCGTGAGGACGCCCCTCTCGGGGGACGGGGACTCGACATTCGGGTCGAAGTCGGGGTCCGGCTCCTGCACGGGGATTTGGTTTTCCCTCGTCTTGTGGAGCAGCTTCTGAACTAAACCGGGCTCCGAGGTCCTTAAGATGTGTTCCTTGAACGAGGGGAGGATGTGTTCCTTCGTGAACGCGGTTCCGAGGTTTAGCTTTAAAACGGCCAACACTCCGCTCTTCGGTAGAGACAGGTGTTCGCAGAGGCTGTTAAAAACGGCCTGCTGGAGCTCATTTAGGTTCCCCGGGTTCACGTCAAAGTCTTCTTCTTTAACTTCGGCCCATATCTTACTGAAGAGATGTTTATAGACCACGTTGAATTCTTCGGGGGAGCAGCCCGACGTGGACTCCCTGGTAGCTTGAGCGATAACGGCTCTGATTAGCAGACTCACCGATACGTATTGGATCCCGTCACGACGGTCTCTGTAGTGCAAAGACTCGGCTCTCATCCTCGGTAACTCCGCAAACTCTGGTATTTGCTGACAATCTTCCTCGTGTCCGGGTTCCTCCACCAATATCGTTGCCTCGGATTGTTTGTCAGTCACTCCATCCTGGTCCAGGGACCCAAACTGGTGGTCTTCCTGCCCCAGGAATCCCGCCTCCAGAGTCCTGGCTTTGGGGGTTTTCTCAGTCCTCCGTTTCTTTACTAGGGACGAGTCCCCTTCAACTATACGTTTCTCCACCGGATTTGGGTCCAAGGTGTTATTTTTATCCCTACATTTCTGCATCAGGGACATATTATGGAGGTCTTTATCTTTTTTGCTTTTCTCCACGGGGGACACGTCCAGGGGGTCCTCTTCATTATTTGTATGTTTCAAAAAAGGGGTCACATCACGGGGGTCTTCTTCATTATTATTATTCACAAAAGGGGCCACATCCTGGGGGTCTTCTTCATCACTGTATTTTTCAAAAGGGGGCCCATCCTGGGGGTCTTCTCCATCATAATATCTGTCAAAAGGAGTCCCATCCTGGGGGTCTTCATATTTGTATATCTCAATAGAGGCCACTTCCTGGGGGTCTTCTCCATCATAATATCTCTCAATAGCTGTCATGTCCTGGTAATCATTTATATATCTCACAAAAGGGGGCATGTACTGGGGGTCTTCTTCATTTATATGATTTTCCCAATTGGTCGGGTCCTGGGGGTCTTCCTCAGGATGAAAGTCCTGAACCAGGGTCGGGTCCTGGGGGTCTTCCTCAGTCTGATAGTCCTGAACCAGGGTCGGTTCCTGGG